GGCTCAAACATTTGTAAGTCCAAATGGCATTACTAACCATTCATAATGTCCTTGATGGGTACAGAAAGTCATTTTGTGCCTATCCTCTGCATTGACTAGAATTTGGTGGTATCTGAATCTAAGATCTATCTTAGAAAAATATTGAGCTCCAAAAAGTTCATCAAGCAACTAATCCATTGTTGGAATTGGAAAATTGTCATTTATGGTAATGACATTTAAGGCTCTATAATATGTACAAAATCTTCAAGTCTCATCCTTTTTTTAACAAGAATCATTGAAGATGAAAAATGACTAATGCTAGGCACAATAGTACCCTCATGCAACATATCACCAACTAAAACTTCAAGGCATCAATGTTTGGTTGTGGAGATATCAATAGGGTCTCACTTTAAGGGAATAGAATGGGTCTGAGAGTGATTAGGGGATAATCTAGTTGGAACAACAAAATATCCTTCTATATGTGGAGCAAATTGGCTAATTCATTTTTCATATTAGGTGGTAAATCCAACCATTAGTCTTGTTGATTGTCTGAATGTTGACATTGTAGCGCAAACAATTGCGAGATAACATGAGTGATTTGCACTTGTCTAATGTAATTAAATTAGGTTGGATTATGCAGTTGAGGTCTTTCATCATGTAAGGTAATAAATTTGTCACCAAATAAAATTTCAAAGTTAGATTGTTATAATTTGAAATATGAGGGCCAAGTGCGGCTAACTAAGCTGCTCCTAACACCAAATCAATGCTTGAAATGGATAGAAGATACACCGAAAGATTTAATTGGTGTTCTTGAATTCTCACTGCCAATTCATGAAGCAATCCTTCAGCCATCAAGGAAGAGTACCTTCAAGGCATTATAAGATAAGTGAGGATGGTGCGAACTCAAACTAGAAAGAGCATCCTATGCATCAAGAAGGTCATGTTTAGGCTTATTATTATCATCCTCCTCTAAATGTAAATTAGTTATTGTTTATAATGACATCTATGAGTGGAAGAAAACTTTTCATCGCACGTATAGCATAAGTCTTTATCTCTTTGCAATTGCATCTCGACAAGAGAGATCTTTTTAACATTATGGGGTCGAGAAGGATTAGATATTGAACTTTGGTTTAAGGTAGGCAAAAGTGGTGGTAGGTTGATAGTTTTAAGGGTTTAAGACAAAGGTAGGCTAGTTTTTGCGAGTTGTATTTTGGCTAGGTTTGTATGGTTTGTGTTTAGGACTATATTTTTCCTCATATAATTTGTTAAAGACAAATTGAATCAATGTGGTTGAAACTTGTGCGCAATGACATCTCACCTAATATTAGGTTTAAACCACCCACAAAGCAATCCAACAGAGCATAAGGAGTAATTTCATGCACACTGTTAACCAAAGATGTGAACTACCCATAATAATCATACATAGACACAATCTGTGTTAATTTGAACAAATGTGACCAAGGACATTCAAAAGGTGAAGGACCAAATTCTAGCTTAAGTGCTTGTGTAAAAGCAATCCATGAGTGAAATGAATTTGTGCGATTCATGATTTGATCCCAAGAAGGCACTACTTCTTTATCCAAGTGTATAACAATAATGGTAAGTCATTATGCATCATCAGTGTTATAGTAATTAAAGAATTATTTTGCCTTAAAAATCCATTGGAGCACATCAGCTCCATCAAAATGTGAAAAATCTAACTTAACATTTCAGACCTGGAATGGTTGAAATGGAGGACCACTAGACTCTTAAGTTAGATTATACTTCATTAATGCCTCAATAGAAGATTCTACTGTCTCAAATTGAGTTGCAAAATCTTTGTCATAATTTTTCAATCATTTTATAATGTGCCTAACCTTAGAAGAAGTTCTTTCAGGCGAGTATTTTTCGTCATGACTCAATGAAAACACCAACTTGTAATGTGTAACCTAAACAAGAAGAGTGAGTATGAAATTTTCTCTATAAGTATTATTGAATTGTGAGTTTTTTATAATGAAAGATGCCTAGACTCTAGATGCACAAGAATTTATGACCTTGGACTAGATCCTGTAGATTAAGACTGCAGAAATATATCCTTCCTTCATATCCAAACTATGAAAGCGAATGTTAAGAAACAGAGGGTTTAGAATATTTCTATCCATAAGACTCACTGTCTTGTTTGGATAACAGTTGAAGTAGACCGGACATTGGCCAAGACTAGTTTCTACTGTACCTATTAGAGAATCTCCAAACCTATTATGTCTGACATCTCTAAGACACATTAAGACAATGACATCTATACCTATGTCTATCAAAGGTTTGATGGCAACTTAAACACATCCTATGTGGAAGTATTTGTATTTTCTTTAATGTTCATTAACTGAGTGTTTTTACAAGAGATGAAATTTTTCTCCTAGGTCTTGACCTAAGGGAATATTATTTTCAACAATCTTGATAATATAATATGAATTTTTTTTTATTTGTTTTTTAGGAACATAAAATGTTTCTTGAGGAATTTTTGGAATAGTCTAGTCATCCATGTTTTGTTTGATTTCTTTAAAACGAACTTTTTCGTCGAAAAGATTGTGTTTGAGAGTGATTTCAAGAGACTGTTTCTCTTGATCATGAAGGAGTAGATTTTTGGTAGGAGAGAATGAGGAGGATGAACTAGAATTAGTTTTGAGAAAGATACAGGAAAAAGAGCAAAAAATACGAGACATCATAAAATACACCTATGGTTCATCACCTTCATCTAGTTCCATAAAAATACACTTGTCAAATCATTTATAACTTTTCTTCTAAATCTGGTTATTTGTGGACTTTTTTATTTTTATAAAAATAAAAATATCTTTACTATAGCCACCAATCCCTTATGTGCTTCAGTTTCTTTTGAATATAGCATCATCGAATCAACCTTACTACCCTTCATCAACACGGCTCTTACTACTGCAGCTCTATTCAAAAGAACTAAGAACTGTCGTGTTTCCAATAAAGGTATTTCATAAAAAATTAAAAGAAAATGCATAGTATTTCTAGACCATTAGTTTGTGGCATTGTTATAGACAGGAACGACCAATAACAGTCTCATCCGAAGGACCTATCAACTGTCCAGCTTATAAACTATAGTTTTAGAAATTTTAAAATAAATTTAAAGTTTAAATCTAGAGGAACATAGTTATAAATGATTCACAGATATATTCTTACTTTCCCATCAAGCTTTGATACCAGAACCTTATAGCTGTGAATCTAGGAAATAAATAAATATATATATATATATATATAAACTATTAATTTAATCATTTAATATTATAAATATTTTTCAAATACATATTTATCATATAAAATTACTTTATTAATGTAAATAAATTAATTTCTTTTATACATTAAAAAGGTAGGATACTTATATTAAAAGAAAATTTTAATAAATTTGTTTTTATGTTGAATTTAAGTATTTAAATATAGTAATTTTCATTAAAAATTATTAATTATATTAAAAATACAAAATTATAATATACTGTTTTTTAATATATATATATATATATATATATATATATATAGAATATTATGTATAAGTAGAAAATATTTATTAAAAATTACATAATTTAATAAAATAATTCATTAAATTGCATTAATTTTATAATTTTAAAAAATATTTTATTAAATCTTTATTATGTAAAATATTGCATATCTTATAAAAATATACAGTCAATAATTTTAATAAAAATTTACTATTTTTAAATGCATAAAATCAATCACAAGAATTGGAATTAATATTTTACATTTTTATAATATTTCATAAAAACAACTATATACATTTTTTGTTATAATTATAAAAAGATAAATATTTTATTTTTAAATATATTAATTATTAATTTTATATTTTATTTAGAATTAAATTTGCATAAAAAATATATTTATTTAATATATAAAATATTAATTTTAATATTTAATATTATAAACATTTTTAAAATACAATATATATTAATGATATTTGATTTTTTTAATTTAATCAATTATTTATATATTCTTAATAAAAAAAATCAGAAATTGTATTTTGGCAGGAGGCAGGGTAATAATAGATTGATGGATTGATATTGAATTACGAGAAATGAAAATGATACCTGCATTAATTGAGAATGATTATATGTTTATTCAAAACAATACAAAATCTGACTAAATTTCCTATTTGATTAACTAAGGATAGAATGTGATTTGACCAAAACTGAAGACAGTTATATCCCTGTGTCCGAATCCAAACTAGGTTGGTTTGAGTTGACCGAGCTAGATTTTGGGCTATCAAAATGCATGACCATCTCATGATTCCGTTTTTATTTATTTATTCCCATACTGATACGGTGATACCAGTACCCCAGTAAGGAAGGGCCTTGGCGGCCACACACGTAGGCCCTACCCGTTAACCACGTGGCGATAAACCCTTTTCGTCGCCCCATCGAACTAATAAAATCAATGAAACTAGAACATTTTTTTTACGTACTTATAAATTTAGAAAATATTTTCTTTTTTTAATCAGTTATAATTGTAGATATTAACTGCATCGGTGATGATAATTTTACATATAAAAAATATAAAATATTTTTTAATTTTTAAATTATCGTAATTTTTTTGCTTTTTTAACACAAGATATTAAATTCAAAATTATTCATTAATTTTTTATTAATAATTATATGATATTATTAAATTTAATATATTAAATTTTTAATAAAAAATTATTATTTATTAAAATTTTATTATTTGATTAAATTAATAATAGTAGTTATATTAAAACACAAAAAATATATGAAAATAACAATTTAAAAGATTTTACGGAAACAAACGCCATGTCACGGAAAGTCCGAATCGTGCTGGCACTCCAAAGCGTTGACTGGAACCGCCATAAAAATAATGCCCAAAATTGGGGAGTCCACATTGACCATACGGTGGCAAAGCACACACTGGAACATAACAGAATCAATAATCATTAAACAAACAACGCGAATGAAGGGGAATATAAATATTGAAATCCCGTCAGCGAAGCAAAAGAGAGTGCGACTGTGAGTGTGTGCAGAGAACACCGTCTTTCTTTCTCTTTTCTCGCGTGTCGTACGGTAACCACACTCTCCTACTCCTTCACGCACTTTTCCCCAATCTCGGACCCCTGATTTCTAGGGTTTCACCATCCAATTCACCATTTTCTCCGCAGAGCATCTCTTAATCATTCTCATATATATATTTCTCTCTTGAAACTAGGACTCGTCGCTCGCCGTTAATGCGATCGACAAATGAGAAAGAAAAGGAAAGAAACCGAGGCGGAACTCGAGATTTTAAAGTCGCATTACTCGCTGGAAGATTGTTCCAGGTGTAAAAAGAGGTGTAGCGATGACGGTGTAGCCACTGCTCCACCTTGGGGAACGTCGTTAATTGTGACGCCGTCAAGAGGTCTCAAGAGGAAGATAGGGTGCATTGATAGAGCCACACAAATGGGAAGAAGCAGAAGGATCGACGATGATTACGTCACCGGAGGAAACATGATCGGGCAAGGAAAGTTCGGGTGCGTGTGGCTGTGTCGCGCACGCGCCGGAGGAGGCGAGTACGCGTGTAAGACGCTGAGGAAGGGGGAGGAAACGGTGCACCGTGAGGTGGAGATAATGCAGCATCTGTCGGGGCACCCTGGTGTGGTCACTTTGGAGGCAGTGTATGAGGAAGCTGAGTGTTCGCATTTGGTTATGGAGTTGTGTTCTGGTGGAAGGTTGATCGATAAGATGAGGGAGGGTTCGTGTTCGGAGCACCAAGCTGCGGGTATAATCAAGGAAGTGATGTTGGTTGTTAAGTATTGTCATGATATGGGAGTGGTGCATAGGGATATTAAACCAGAGAATATTCTTCTTACAAAGTCTGGGAAAATCAAGCTTGCGGATTTTGGACTCGCCATGCGGATTTCCGAGGGTAATTCATGTGTGAAATCTGTTTGGATGATCTTCTTTTAGTGAACCCTTGACCTTGCTGAACTATTAGCACTTGGATAAATTGTTCAATTACAAGAGCTTATTTATAACCTTAGCTTGACGACTTGTTGAAAATAGCTGAAATGAGTTAATAAATAGAATGTCATAAACTATTTTCGCATGTTGATATATGTTTTAGGAAGCACGGGCACATCTACAAGGTTGCCCTACGGGTGTTGGATACGTTTCGACACAAATACACCAGCTACAAGCTTTGATATGTGTTCTGTTAATTAGTAGTAGTTGTAGTGAATAATCAAGACAACATAACATGTTATCTTTCATAACTTCAGTATATTATGACTTTTTTACTGTGTCGAAGATAGAATTTTGATTTTTGAGGTATTTTATTTTGTGATTGAAATATATTGATTTTTTATTTTTTACGTAACGTTTCCATGTCCATTTTTTTTTAAAATGTGCATTGTTACTGTTACTATATTCATATTGTGTTCATGTTTCCTAGCGAAAAAGTGCGAAGAAATTGATTGTAATGAGCTTTTAACTGAAACAGTTGTTGATGGTGTTCATTTTGCCGATATTGTTAGTTATAGAAATCAGTTAAATTTGCTCTTTATTTCAGTTGTAGTTTACTAATGGTTTGGCTGCTGGAGTAAAAATTGGAGATTTATGGTGGTTCTTTATGTTCATTCTTAAAGTAAATGTGCTGGAAATCTAAGAATAAGAGGTCCGAGGGAAAATGCTTAAACCATTCTTATTCTAAGGTCGCTTTGTTTGTGTTTAATTTTTGAGCATTTGAAAACATTAATATTGCTATTGACTCTTTTTTTTTTTCAATTTGGGTTCTTGTGTATGAGTTAGTTATGTTGTTAATGCATTGCCTCATTATCTAGAAATATGTATTGCAGGTCAGAACTTGACGGGTTTGGCTGGGAGTCCTGCATATGTTGCACCAGAAGTGTTATTGGGTAGATATTCTGAGAAGGTGGATATATGGAGTGCTGGAGTGCTCCTGCATGCAATGTTGGTTGGTAGTCTTCCATTTAAAGGAGATTCACAAGAAGCAGTTTTTGAGGCTATTAAGAATGTCAAACTGGATTTCCAAACTGGAATGTGGGAATCCATATCTAAACCTGCACGAGATCTTGTTGGGAGAATGCTGACGAGGGATATTTCAGCAAGGATAACTGCTGATGAAGTACTTAGTAAGTTTATGATAGATAATGAGTATTTGCCTGCTTTATCTTTCTTCCTTGATGATGAACACACCAACGATTAGTTGTATTCAATCTTATTTTTGTTCTTTTTAATCTTGAAATAATTAACATGGATAATATTTCAACTTCCAAGTTTTGTTGAAACTTTCTTTGCCTCTCAGAGTGATTCTTAGTAATGAGAATGGTTGCATTGTTATAACAAGCTTTACTGGTCCCTTGAGTGTGGGTTAACTGATTATCTGATAAGATAGTGTTATATGGTAGATATGTTTTTGATTTATGTTGTTATTATTTTCTGATTTCTGATTTCTGATTTGTAGAACCTTATTTTTAGGAGTTGATTTGTTGGTCACATCTGTTCAGATTTGTCTAATACTGGTTTTGAGTTAATTTAGGAATCAGAAAATAAGGTTCTACAAATTAGAAACATATCTACCTAATAACATAAATCAGAAAATAATAACAACATAAATCAGAAACATATCTACCATAATAACACTATCTTATCATTATCCCATTCTTTATTGTGTTTTTTCTTGGTTGGGATAACAGTAAGAATCTGTTAATTCTCACTTAATTTTGTCAGTTTTTATTACATGTTAATATGCTAGGTCGATGAAGCACTCTTTTCCCCTCTGTTCTATTAACAAAAACAAAAACAATAAACTTTTTAAGAACTGTTCGATTGGTTCAATCTTTATTTAGGTTGTGCATGTTAAATTGACATTCTGTGGTTCAATTTCAGGGCATCCGTGGATATTGTTCTACACAGAGCGTACATTAAAGATGCTGCCCATTAAATCAAAATTGAAACTCCAAAATGAAGCAGCTTGCCAGAAGTTTCTTGCTGCACCTGAATCTGGGTTAGTAGGAAGTGGGATAGATGATGGCTCCCTTAATAAGGTTTCAAGCGAGTTTTCATCCTCTGAAAGTGGCAATTCAGAATATCGTGATGACTGTGCGTGGATTGATGCACTTGCTACTGCTGTTTCACATGTGAGGATATCCGAAACAAAGAGGAGCAAGTTGTGGGGTCCCACCGTTCCAATTGATCAGCAAGGTTCATCTAACATGAAGGCTAATCTCTGTAAAGCATTCTGAACTACTGACAGCTTGACACCGCATATACCATAATATCGATTGCTTTAGCCGGGGTTTTATAATAAACTTAGCCCAGAACATTCTACAGTTGGCAAAAGTGGATTACATGCTAACATCCCAAATTGGATGCCACTTTCTCAGGTGTCTTTTTAGCGTGGGATCTAATTACAGCATTTCTTTTTTCTTCCTGTCCATATAACCTAATAATAATTAACTGAGAAAACTCAGATAGTTGTACAGAACATGTAAATATAATTTTAATGTGTCACAACTGAATGTTTTTGCTCTTGCTGGAGCAGGGGTTTATGTGTAGAATATGTTTTGATTTCACTTGTTTAGTGAAAACTTGAACTTATTTTCCTTTGGAAGATTATAATAAAAAATTATGATTGCAGAAGCGTATGTTATTCTTCCCATAATGCGAGGTCTGTTTTCTAAGTAGTTCGATCGATTTGTATTTCAAGACATGTTTTTTCTTTTAAGCACACGAGGTGGCAAGGAGATTGACTCTGAGTCAAACTTATGCTGTGATTTTGCTCTGTGCTAGTTTAGTTATTTGAAGGTGGATTTTTCTTGGAAGCAAGATAAAAACTGCTAGTCGATTTTTCGATGGAAGCATCGTAGTTAGGTTTACAATTTATTTTGCATTTGATAATATAGATTATATTTTCCAAAACGAGACATTATATTTTGCACGTTCAAGATTTATCATTTAACCGCTTGCATTTTAGCAAGTTTTATACCGTTGATTTTTGTGTTAACGGATATCACCCAGCACTTTATTTTAAGTGTAGACTTCATTTTGAAGAAATCAAATTCTCACAGGATAAAATTGAAAAGTAGATGAATTGAAGCAAGTTAGGCTACTAGGGAATGTCCATCTGAGAAGAAATCTCTGACACGACTTAACAGCAATCTACTCATGATGAAAGGATATCAGCGAAACTTGACACGGGAGCCATTGAGGGACCATTAAAATTGTAGAATACACAGAACAGTTGGGAAAATTTGAGGTGGAGTGATTACTCCAGACCGGCATATTTCCATTTTTCTCTCGAGTTACATCATGCAGTAAAATGGACCAAAATAGACCATAGTGAGAACAGAGGAATGACTGGGGAAAACAGGAAAATGAGTAAAATGTCTGTCCGGAGTTTGTTAAAAAGGACATCTTGAATCATAAAGATACTAGTATTTTAACCCGTGCAATATTTATTTTTATGTGACTAATTTATAGTAATTAAATGTTTAAAATTTTATTTATGACATAAAATGTAAATATTAATAGTTTTTATACAAAGTTATCATATTGGTTTTTATGAAGAATTAAAACAGTAAAAAAATGAAATCCTTAAGAGTCTAATTTGGTAGTAGATTAAATCTTTGAAAGAAAAAAATTAAAATTATACGATATTTATTTTTATGAAAGACTAAAGTATTGACAAAAAGAATTTTTTCTAAATACTAATTTGGTGGCTATGATTTTTTAAGAATTAATGTAGTGACACAAATATTTTTAGAGGACTAAATTGAAGATTTTCTTGAGATTTTTTTAAAAAAATAGGAAAAGAGAAGTCCAAAACCGAACACTACCAAAATAAGAGAATAGATATTGAAAACATAACATTTCTCATGTTTCAACCCCAAATTCTAAAACATTTCTCACAAAATCTTAAGAATACTTTTTCAAGTTTTCTAGTGTGTACTCTGGCTATTTTGTTTTTTACTAAAAGTATTTATTTATTAATAAAAAAATAACATTTTTTATGTGATTAAAAATAATAACATATTTTTAATAAAAAAATTCATATAATTAAGAAAACCATATGAAATATTGAGAAATAAGTTTTTCTCAAAAAACAAAACAAAACAAAACACTGACCAAGATGTTGAAGCTGCATAAATTATTTGAAATAGCAATAAATAGGGGCACAATATAAAATGAGTGTAGGATATTAATTCCATATTACTTCGAAACAAACTTTGGTGCCCATATATGGAAGTGTATAATTAGCAATTTGACCAGCAAAGCAATAAAAAATCCCCTACAAAATATCATTTCTAGCATCACGGGATACTATTGATAAGGAAATTATTAGTAAGGATATAACATTGGTTAACTTTTCTAGGTCCGTTTATTTGAAATTTGGGTGAAAATTTGTTTTAATCGTTAGGCATAATTAAAATATGTGCCTAAATTAACCTTATAAAATTTGAATTAAAATGTTTTACAGTAAGAGGCGTTAAGTTTGAAAGTTTGCAAAATAGGCAGTATACTAAAGTAACTAATATATTTTTACATTGACTTTCTTTTACATTCTTTTTTTCAGTGATTCTTAATTTCATTACGACAAATCAACAATTTGGAGCTTTCTAGCTAAACAATTGCATGTTTGGATTCATGTTTAAATGGACATAGAGATTCGCGGTTATTTCAACGCAACTGATTATAATTATTGCGTTAGATATACTTTCACATATTTTTCAACATATTTTTAAACACACAATATCACGTTCATGGTTTCTGGCTGCAAAGTGCTTCATGTATCACATGGCATTTATAGAGAAAAGGAACACAAAAAAACTATGAAGCAAGCAAATCACACATTTTTTTTTCCAAATATAATTGCTGATTTAACTACGCCGTGTATCCAAGAAACATACCTAAAAAGCCAGATACATTTTAATTATGAAACACTAAAGGATTTTGGAGTTTTTCTTTACAACAATATTAGCTATCATGTGGGTCGTCGAATTCAGTGAAGTCTTTCAACCAGGAAGCTGGCTCCTCATTTTCTAGACATCTTGGACCAAAGGTACACTACAAAGAAACACACTAAGGCAAAAATTATAACATGAACAATATGGTTTGAACCATTTTGGATGATGCTCTTGTTCAATCTTCTTAAGTTATTCTTCACCCCAGCCTGAGCCTTTATCATTGTCATTTGCTGTATTCAACAAGATAATGCTAAAAAGTTAACACCAAAGTTGGACAATTTCCTACTAAATAGTTGATAAACTGAAACTGATTCATTACAAGAAATAATATGCAACAAAAATAGTCTGTTTCAATTTTTTAAGGAATTCCAATGGTCAAATTGTAGATAGCAGCATGTATGACATGGTTTTCCTTCCTTTTAAACTTTTGAAGAACTTCATATTGTAACAAGTTGAGCGTAATTTTCTGATTGAGAAACGTTTCCTGCCACAGTTAGCATTCAGCCTTTAAAATCAAAGGACATCAACATGCAATAGTAAATTCATTTCTCTGATTCTGGCAACACTGAGCAAATTGTAATTTTTCTCTTGCTTATAACCGAGTTTGAGCAAGCAAAAACCAAGTACACAGATTATCCAAGAAATCATGTACCAGCTGTTCTAGAAAATCTTTCTGGTACTTCACTTCTGTCCCTATCTCCTCAGCAACCTGGGCCAGAAATATTTATAGTATGAGTACAAAGTAAGCAGAAAAGAAAGGAAGGAAGATAAGTGGCTGTTTGTTTTCTCAAAACATTTTCTATTTTTACTTTAATTACAAAAAATACAATCTTATTTTCATTACTTTTCTTGTTTCAAATATTTATACAAGAAACAGTGAATAGGAAATAGAATGGAAATAAAGTGACATTTTTGTAATTAAAGGTAAAAGGTGTATTTGAAAGAGGTTATGACAACAAAAATCACTAAACAAGTTTCGAAACTTTATATAATTTCACTAAACAAGTTTTAAGAAAAAAGGAATAGTGAATTAGGAGGATATAATTCAACAAGTAAAGCTGCCTAGAGTGAACATAACATAATTGTAGTTGGAAATTGAACTTAATTTTCCACATCAGGTGCAGCATCAAACATAGATAGATGCATAAATTACGAAAAATTGTCGAAATAGAAAGAAAAAAAAAAGATACATGTTTCAACCGTCTAACTTGGCGATGAAGACCGGTGATTTCATCGTCCAAGTCCAAGGGATCAATACGCAATTGGATCTCTTCGGAGGCAGCAACGGGTCGGGTGCTAAGCCCATCTCTACAATCCAACACGTGCAAATCAATAGACACGTTCCACGAAATCCAAGCCAGAGAGAGAGAGAGAGAGAGAGAGAAGTACCTTGATCTGTAAGGATAGGAAGAGTGGGAATTGGCAGCCATTGAAAGAGAAACCTAATTTCGATTCGATGCGAAGGTGGTGGGGTTTTTATTTCGGTGAAAGAATGGATTTGAAGACTTACGCGGGTTTGAGTTGTTGGATAATCAATGACAACGAATCTTACTGGACAAGACAAGAACATTCCGGGAACAAGCAAACGAACATGGGAATTGGGCTTTTTTCACTATGCACCGTATTTTAACGGTTATCGAAAGTTTGGTCAAATATATTTGAAAAATTTCGAAGTTAAAGTAATTTTCGAAGGACACACTGACGCCTTGGAGCTCTTATTTGTATAAACTTTTAACAACTTTTGGAGCTAAAATGGATATCACAAGAAACATTTTCAGGGTTTGAGAAATGATGATAATACTCTTTTCATATTTTTTTTCATTAAAATTCTTTTAGTTAATATTTTTTTTAGAATATTTATAAATTTTTTATATTTATTTTTATTATTTATTTTATTATGAGTAGTTAAATTTATAATTAAAATTATAATAAATTTTTTACACATTTTATACAATAATATAATGATAGTTTTTTTTATTGGTTTGTATCTTAATGAGCTTATATTTATGTGTTATTCTTACTATATTATAATTAATTGTATTATAAGCAATCATATACAGACTGTATAGTTCATTAATTTATAAAGTAAGAAGAGATAAAAAAATTAAATAGATAAAATTTAATTTTTTTCTTTTAATTGTTATTAAAATCTATTAAATCTATTGAGTTGTTCTAGAATAAGCTCATATGCTCTATGTTTTTTCTTTTTTTATTTGTATTACAATTTATTCTTAAAAATTAAAAAATGCTTTTAAAAAGTAAATCAAACATGCTCTAAATATTTTATTTTTTCTCATTTAATCTGTAAAAGTTTTAGTAATACTCAAAATGATAAAATTTAAAATATAATTAAAGGTTCCTCATTTCAACACATCTTACTAAATAAAATAAAATTTGAATAACAAAAAATAATTAACATATTTGTATTATTTAAATACATGAGTTTAACATTTACAAGTTATAATTAAAATATATTAGGACTTCAATTAATAATTACAAGATCAAATATATTAAGTTCTAATAAGTATATCATTCTCAGAACCAAAATCCTAAGAATATTATCCTAATCTAAATCAGTCTTTAACTCATCACTTCTCTAGTTCTTCCATTTCTTCCTATGTCAAGTCCTCCTTATAATGGTTTCCAGTGTAAGTTGTGATCTTACCTGGTCAATCGTCCTAGATGGTCGAAGTCATGGAAGGAGTATACATAATTCATCATAGCTTATGTTACATTCTTACAGGCTATAACAAATTTAGGATCCATTCTTACAGGCTATAACAAATTTACAATGACATATCTCTATCATTCTCTAAATATATTATTTAATCTACTTTCAAAACTTCACTCAATTGACCTAAGTGGTCTCTAAGGAATGATCAATTTTATTTCCTGAAATTGTAAGTAAGGACAAATCTTCTCCTCACTATTAGAATAAAGCCAAACAATCAATTTAGAAATTTCACAACAACCAAGCACAATAATAAATAAATCAACAATGTCATACCACATACATTGTAATCACATAATACAATAATATGTCATTCTCTTATATATATAATTCATTATATACTGTGATAATAGTTTTTTAGTACTTTATAATATTTCTTGGAGTTCTTAACATAGTCAATTATGCCTCTAAGATCCATGAGGTCTTACATACATATAGATAATTGTTGGTTAGCTATTGCAACACGGGTACAACATATGCAATACTCAGCCACTTATCAAAAGTACAGTGAGAAGTTTAGTCAAAAAATGAGTGAGGCCATGTGATACTTTCACATTCATTAATTTATGCACAATCATATCAAAAATCATTCATCACCTTACATTTCTCACATACTTTCAAAATCGTCTCAATCTTCTATACTTTTAGTATATCTCTATAACTATTCACACTAATATTTCATCATTTATTTCTCAACATTTGACTCATCATAGCGCATTCTCGCCACTCTCATCATACATTAAGCAAGTTATGCCAAATGTCAGAAATTTCTAGATTCAGCTCAAATCGCATATTTTAATGAATCATATTTCATCCATTCAATCAACAATAAAAATACATATCATCTAGTTCATTAACTCAAAATTCATTTACAACTTATATTTCTAAAATAATATAAAAAAAGCATGTTACTACTTAAAGAAGCAAAGATTGTATATGAAAATTGTATACATTACATATGTACAATTTTTTTTTATTGATGGGATAGAACTCTTCAAACCTTAAGAAAATGATCCACGTAAAATATTTTGGTGGAAGATATTGTTCAAAAGACCAAATTCTTCCTAAGTATCACAAAGTAGAGTAACTTTTGAGAAGAAGAAAAAAATGATAAAATATAAGTGAGATTGAAAATATAATTCGAAGAACTTATTGGAAATCAAGTAGAAAAGATGTTGAAGCTCAAATTCGAGAGAGCTTTTGAGAGTAAAGGTATTTTTTCAGGTGTGGAATAGAGTGAAAGAAATGAGAGTAAGATGAAAATGGTTAATTGCCTTGTAATCTAAGTTTTAAAAACATCAAAATTACTTAAATATTCTTTTACTCAAGGATTTCTTGCTTGAGCGAGACTATTCTCGCCTGAGAAAAAAATTAGATAAAAAATTTATATACATTTACTAATATTTTCACTTGAGTGAGACACTTTTACCTCAGTGAAAACACTCCAGAGAACTCTTATTTTGTCACTAATTCTCGCTTGAGCGATAGTACAACTAAAATTTTTTTATCTACTCTTACTCGAGCAAGAACTGTCTTGCCTAAGTAAGAATACTCTAGAGGCGTCTATGTTCAAATTAAACAATTTTGCTTAAGCGAGAAATATTACAATTTTAGAAAATAAAATTCTTTCATTTTAAAAACAAAAATGCAATAAAGTTAAGGTGTTACAAGTAATACTAGTATGGGTAGTTGGCGATCATAGAAAAATTAAGATTGAAATTAAATTAAAAGTAAACATAAAGTGATGAAATAAAAAGTTCTAAATTCATTTCAAATAGTTTTAAGTTAAAATTTGTGTTGTATTTGTAATTTTTTAATTACTTTTTTACTTAATTTTTTTATATCGTTATTTTACTTTATTATGTCCTAGTTAAGTTCAATCAATTAAATCAAGTTTCTTACTAAGTAAAAATAATTCAATGAGACAATATTTTAGAAACTTAATTTGAAAATTTTTATTATTATTATTTAATAAAAACCAGGAACATGTTTAGATAAGCTATAAAAATGTTTTTAAAATAATTTTTTATCATTATAATTAATTATATTTTTATTTTAATATTTTTTTAGACTACATATATCTTCTGCATTTAAATAATTATATTCATTAAAATTTAGACTAAGTTAGAATAATATTTATCAATAGATCTATGAGTTTAGTAATTTTAATATATTTTTATTTCACATAATACATTAAATTTTTTATTAATTATCCTAATTATTTTGATAAAGTATTTTTAGTTATCTAAAATCTTTATACAAAAATAACTATTATTCAAAAATAACTTCTATTTGAACTAATTTAAAACAAGTCATTATGAAAAGTCTTTTATCACTTGTTTTTTACTCATAAAACTTGATTCATCAATTATTTTTATATTTTAATTATGATACAGGTTATTTAGACCAAAGAGGTGTATTGGATTAAGATTTTAAAGGACTTTTTTAGTTAAAAAAAGTCATGCGGATTTTAAAAGACTTTGCAGAATTTTTATGATTTTTAATACTTTGCAGAATTCTGCAAGACTTTAAAATTAGAATTTTAATGGATTTTGTAAGACTTTTAAGTCAGGATTTTAATGAATTCTGCAAGATTTTGTGAATTTTATAGAATTTCGTAGATTTTTGACATAAAAAGTTCAATATTTTTTTTCATACATTCAAATTTAAAAAGAGTAAAAGACTAAAATAATAATAAAAATAACAATATTTGGATAAATAATAATAATAATTCTCCGTAATATCATGTCCTCCTAAATAGCATTCACCCACATATCCATAGTTATACTAGTTCTCCAAGCATTAGCGTCTTCTTGCTCTTGTTTCTGAGTTTGAATAATATGCTCAAAATTATTATCTTCATTAATCGGTAATGTTAAAAATGAAGGTTCATCCATCAATTCAATTGGAAATTCATCATAATGACATTCTTTGCGAAGAAACTTATGTAGTGTTACATATGCTAACACAAGTTCTACTTGTGTCTTAAATAAAAAAATGGAGGTGCTAAAAAATTATGAACTTTGATTTAAAAATATCAAATATCTCTCGATCACATTCCTTAAAGATGCATGACAAAGATTGAATAATTTTTTCTCATTTTCAAAGTTATTACCTTGACTTGCAAAATCTTGTAGATGATATCTTATAAGATAGATTTTTTCATCAAGTTAGACATTTTTTTTTTCAAAATTAACGGCTATAGTTTCAATGCCAACAAATAGATTTTCTAGAACTTTGACTTGACTATTGTTCTCAACTGAGTTATAACTCCCTCCATACTCGAACTTACTCTACTTACAATTAATTTTCAGTGGGAACCTTTGAGCTTAAAGGGGGTTGAGGTGGTGAAATGCTTGGGCGAGGTGATGGATGCTGGTAAGGTAGTTTATACTGATTGATGCTATGAATATATCATTATTAAGATCATATGAAAAGTTTTCCATCCCAAAATCAACATTTTCTTCTTCAAAAGTTGTAGCATTAGTATCATCAGGGTCTACTGACATGAAAGTGTGTCCATTAGCAGTTCCATCCCTAACAACAATCATCAAATCCTCATAATTAACCATATTTTTTTCTCAAAGATTTTTGTGACTTGGGTGAGACTAGAAAAAAATCCATTATTAATATATTGAAAATAACATAACACACTAAACTTGTAAACTACTAATATATTAAAAGGTTACGAAATAATCTCACCTTTAAGTACTTTTTGCATACTTCATCACTAGCGGTTAATGTTTTTATAATTGGCTCTCACTCAAAGCCAGAGTTGTTGCACATACGTATTGACATATTATTTTTAAAATTACTTTATTCGACTCAAGTAATAATTATACATTTTAGAAAATTTAATTTTAGCATTGTGATGAGAAAGGATAACTTTCTCCACAATTAGTTTTCTAACTGACCTATTAATATCACGCAGTCCACTTTTTTATAACATCAACTATCAGCTATAGCAATTCATCTGAATCTTCCTTAGTCCAAACTTCATAGTTTTCTTTCTCTTTTCCCTTTCCTTTATTATTTCCTTGTGAATCTCCCATTTGAATTACTAAAACAACATATATTGGAAACTAATTATATAAATAATTATTAATAAGGATACTTATTAAATTTATATCTCACCTAATAGGTACCTATATAATTGAAAACAATACTATAGCCTCGTAAAAGGCTTAACTGCTATATATATATATACACACACACACACACACACACATATATATATATAGGGTATACATTATTATTTCTATATTTTAGATATTTAAACATCTATTTATTCAATTTAAAAAATGCTATATGGTATAGATAAATATCTTAAACTTAACCCTTAAATATGCTAGTTAACTATTTGAAAATCTACAATTGATTGTAGAGATCATGATATTAATTTCAGTTTTTACCTTTCTTTTTTCTTGACGCGTATTATAAAAAAATTATTATTTAAAGTTAAAATTTCAAGCGTTTCCTGTATTATATATCTAAAGAACAAACTCAACTAAATAGAATAAAATAAAGTAAGTCAATGACATGGCCATTTACGTTTTTATCAAAATATGAGAATGGAATGAGAACAGTAGTACAATATTATATACGAATAGTAGTGTAGTATTATTAGTAGAGAAAAAAATGGAGAAGACATGAGTACAAAAAAGAAAGAGATGAAAAACTCACTTGAAAATTCTTAAAGCATTTGAAAAGTCGCTTCAAACAATCCTAAAAAATATGATGGGTTTGGATGAGATTGTTTTATAAATTTAATATTTATAGATATTACTAAAAAGTCTTTCAAAATTCCTTTAATACAATAATCCTTCAAAATATTTATTTTTTTTAATACTAATAAATTATTTTTAAGTTGTAAAAAGTCTTAAATAAATACAAATAAATTTTAATGTGCTGTTTAAAAAATTTTAAAAATCTAGATTGAATATCACTGAATTATTTTTAAGTGACATAAAATCCTGATTAAATACTAACAAATTTTTTTACATAAAAAAAGTATTTTAAAATCCTATAAAATTCTAAACCAATACATTCCCCTAATATTTATATGATTTATTCTATTAAAATTATTGTACAAATTATTGTTTACTTTTTTTTAGAATTTTGGCCATCTTGACCTTTTCTTTTTGTTAGACATATTTTAGATTACACTTGCTCAACTAATATAATTTTTATATCAAAAGTTAAAATAGAGATGCGATTTAATTTGAATAAAATCATTCACGCATATATATATATATATTAAAAATTAAATAATATAAAAAGAAGTAAATTTTATATAATTGTTTTGTTGTGAAATAAGTATTCTAAAAAAATTTATATTACAAATTTTAACCTTTTGAATTAAAATAATTTATTGTTATAATTTTTTCTTACTAAATATATTTATTATTTACTTCTTTTTCTCCCATCTAAACAAGCATTTGTTCCCATTTCTATATATTTTTTACTCTTCTATACAATATATATTTTTATTTTACTTTTTTTTAAATTTAATTTTTAATATATTGTCAATACAGACATTTTTACACTATTAATAATTTTAAATACATTGTAATATAATTATTATATTAAGTATTATAAAAATTAATGTATTTACTTTTACGATAATTTATAATTAAATATAATGTAAAAATTTGTATATTGTGAATGTATTTTATGTTAGTATAAAAAATTCAATAATTAAATAATAATATAAAATTTTTATCATATAAATTTATTTAAATTATATATATATATATATATATATATATATATATATATAAAATATGCTATATCGCATAAAATAATTTAAAACTTAATAATAAAAACATTATAGGAGAAAATATTTTGTTAGTTCAATTAAACGGAAACTAAATTGAAAATTATAATTATTAAGTTTAAATATATATTTGGTTATTGTATTTAAAAAAATATTTTTAAATTAATTTTTAGTTTTATTTTATAAATTTATTTTTACTTCTTCGTTAACGCAGTTTAATAAAAAAATTACTATATGACAAATTTTTAATAAATTAAGTGGACAATAAACACTAAAAATAAAAATATATAAAAATATAGGGTTTAGAAATATATTTAAACATAATTATTATATGGCAGCGTATTCCGAAAACCCAGTGTCGTTTATTTTGCACGGAGTGAAGAGAGAACCCTAACACAGCGACACGATCACGCTGGTGCAGGTGCTACTCTTTCTTATTGTTCCTACTCATTGAAGCACTTAAACTTGAGCAACTTCGGTGCGTTCCTTTTCTGTGATACAAGTTCAAATTTACTAATTTCTGTTGACTCCGTCACGCCTTTGGAATTTGGATTTTGAGTTTACTGCAGAAAAAGAATGATTCCTTTTGGTTATTAGATTAAGTTCTTAATCATAATACATACATCATGCATTCTATTTGTATTGCAGATGAAGGTGAAAAAGCAGAAGCGGCATAGAAAGATTTTGACGTTTTACACTGCGTGCTTTGGTTTCCGAAAACCTTTCAAGGTTCTATGTGATGGCACATTTGTGAATCACCTTCTTGTAAATCGTATAACCCCTGCTGATACCGCCCTTGCCAATATTCTCAGTGCCAATGTCAAACTATACACAACCAGGTAAAGTTATCTCTGTGGTTTAGGTTAATGTTTCTTTCTTTGTCCAATTTCATTCGTGTAGATTGTGATTTCTTTTTTTAATTTGTGTTTTGGATGGAATTGATGCAGATGTGTTCTTGCTGAGCTGAAACGACTTGGTGCCTCTTATTCCGAGGCTCTTGAAGCAGCTCATAAGCTTATAGTTGCAAGGTCTTTCTTTCCCCTGTTTATGTACTATGCCTTATGTTAAAATGAATTATTTTCTGAACTCTTCGAGTTTTAATAATGTATGCATGCATAAGGAAAGGTGCCAGATTGAATAAGCAATGGCATGTGGAATTTGAACTGATGCTTGTTTGTTTAAGGCGTAATTAAATAGAGGTGTCAAATGGGCTGGCTCGGCATGTTGGGCCAGCCTGTTTGTGTCATCTGTTTTTCTTGGGCTTGGTCATACTGATAAACAATGAGATTGAGGAAAAAGTTGTCTTCAACAACACTCACTTCACTGCTCAAAACAACACTCACTACTTTTTGTCTTCAACAAAGAAACAGCTCAAAAAGAAGAGCCTAATTAAACCTTCCAAATCCTTTACTGTTACTAAAATTTGAAGTTCCTTTTCTACCTTCTTATTTGTACTATAGGTATTTGGTGAGAAAGCCACCGCACCTTACATGACAGCTTTATCCTTTCATGGAGCCAAGAAGTGATTGTGGATGACATAAATCACATGCATTGCCTAAAGGTGTAAATAATAGCCTCATTCAAATCCAATGTCCTCTCACTTTGGTCGATGTAAAATGTTGTTTTTAATGATTCAAAGTAAAATATTTTGTTATAAGGCTCCCTGATTTGAAGTAATGAAGCTGTATTTTTAGCCTTAGTCATTAGCATCTCATAGTCTATTAGTGGACCAGTCAGGATTGTTGTTTGTTTATTTGGGTTTTAAGATATTTGAGCACAAATATTCCTGTGGAGATGTTCATTTACTTTGATCTTGACTCCAATTTGCAGGTGTGACCATGATAAATGTACGAGAGCAGATGCCTGCATCACAGAGGTTGTTGGAGATAATAATTCTGAGCACTTCTTTGTTGCTAGTCAAGATACTGACCTGCGGAAGAAGTTGCAAGAGGTGAGTTTAAAATATATTTTTAAATGTTGATTCCTACAGTTAGATATGTTGTTTTCTTTTTAATGTTTTCCTTTCAATACATTTGTCTCGAGAATATGCTCTTGGTAATGAACGTATTTGATTATTTAAAATTTGATTTATGTTGATTTAGTGAAAAGTGAAACCAAGTATCTTTTCAATCTGATTAACTCCTAAAGCTCGTTGAAACTGAGCAGTGTCTTAACCAAGGCCATTTATCTGTAAAGCTAGTTAGTCTGACATGGTGGATTTGAATTGAACACCAATTTATTTTTGCTGTCTATGGAAGATGGGTTACAGTTTACTAATGGATGTATGTATGTTAGTGGAGTTGATGGATGATCTTGGTATTTAATTAGAAGTAAAATAAGAATCTTGGAGACTTTGTGTGTTGTCCAAACTAGTTGAATATGGAACTGCTGGATTAAACCCAATGATAATGCAATTTTTGAAAATGGTTGCTATGGTTGAAGGGTGGGGAAACAAGGACACTATCATGTTTTGTGCATCTGAACTAGCTTTGTATCTTCACTCTCATTTTACGTCTTTTTTTCTATTGATAGTGGTACAGATCCTAAGATAGTGTTTGTCTGTCAATAAACACATGTTTTTTTAATATTCTGATCCAGTTCTATCCTCCTCTTATTTATAATCCCATTCGACCCCCATTGAGAGTACATCACTTTGCCTCAATGTGTGAAACATCTTCTGATTTGGTGTTTCAATGGACATCTATCCAGCATGTCACACAGCAAGTTTATTTTGGCTTGAGAGGAATATTCGAGCTACAACAACAACAAAGCTTTATCCTACTAAGTGAAATTGCTTATATGGATCGCATGATGCAATTAAGCTTTAGTCAAAAACCAAATATTTCATAAAGTAACAAAATCAATGACTGAGGAATAGTAGAGCATTTCTAATAATATTTCTCGTTAGGGTGGTTGAATAGAAGTATAGAACTAGATGATTCTTCTACATTTTCTTGTTTTGCTGTCTCTTACATGTTCTTTTCATTTATGGTGTGTAACTTCATGATTATTTTTTGGTTAGAGAAAAGTAAATGAAACATTTTAACAACAATTATACATCATAATGGAGGTACCCCGCTCCCCAAAACAGAACAAAGAATGACACTAGTTATACCAATTAGAACCTTCACTCTAATAACCTTCAAAGATGGCAGATCTGATTAAGATCATTCATTTTGAAAAACCAATATTCCTACACTTCCAAATTGCATATATCACGGAGCATAAAGCTGAGACACATGTGAGAAAGATATCTCTGTTTTTCTTCTTAGTTAAGAGGAAGCAGTGTTGCCAATCAGCTACCTTTGAAGTGGCAAATCAAAGTCAGCCCCAGTCATTACAGCTTCAATAAACTTTGAGCAAAATTACACTAAAAAGTTAGGTAATCCCTGGTTTCCACAAAAGCATGACAGAAACAACATTGAATATCTTGTAGCAGCTCAATCTTTGAGTCTATCTGTAGTAGCAATTCTATTTTGAAAGATAAGCAAAGACAAAATGGAAACTCAAAGGATGTTAAACTTGTGCAAAACCAAAACGGCCCAATCAATGGTAGGAGGGGTATCATGAAAATTAGAATATATTGCTGGGCATGCATACCCAGTAATTGTCTTAAAATCATTTAAGTTTCTGCCTTGAATTTTGAAGAGTTCATCCTGAAGCTTGAGTAAGTTGGGCCACCACCTGAAATCTCTGTTTTTTTTTTTTGTTCGACCCTTCTATTATCAGTTCCTTAAAGGTGATACATGCTTACTGTAAGGTCTCAGCCAGACTGAGCTAACAGAGCCTTTATCAATTTAAAATACACATTGCTGTTTTATTCCACCCAATTAGCTCCTTAAAATCAAGATCCCCATTCTGCTTAGGTTGACAATTGGAATCCTGAGAGACGAGCTTTTCTTGCTGTTTTCATTGCCAGCAGACCACAGAAATTTCCGGTAGATGCTCTGGACTTTGTTAATAACATTCTGTGGGAGGAGATAGGCTGAAGTCCAAAATCTCTGAATGCTAAGTAATTCTGATCAAATTAGTTACTTTATGAATTTTAAATGGCTGTTTCATTTTTCAGTCTTCAGCCAGGGTTCCTATTTGTGCCATAAGTGATTTACCTTGCTATGTTTACCTTTTGTACATTTTGAGATTTTATGATTGACTCTGGTGCTTTTCTCATTAAAAGAAAATTTTGAAAACTTCTGGTTATTTATGTCTAAAATATGTTGAAATGCTTCTCTAATAAAGCAAGATGTGTAAAATTGTGTACTACATGCATTTATTCTTCTTGATTTGCATGTTGCAGGTACCCGGTGTGCCTCTCATATTTGGTCTCCGAAATGCTCTTTTCCTTGAATCTCCATCTGCATTTCAGCGGCATTATGTCAAAACTTCAGAAGAAGGACGGTTGCATATGAGTGAGACAGAGTACCAGATATTTAAGGATAGGGTAATGAATAGATTGAATAGTGAGGAAGCTAACAGTTCCATTACTGAAACATTGGAAAACGAAGATTTAGGAGATCAAACGATAAATGTGCAGTCAGGGACAAAGAGCATCACCACAACGAATCCGATGGACATCAAGGATAAACCCAAGTTCAAGAGAAAAAGAGCTAAGGTTATAATTTACACTGGTATTTGTATTTATGTGTATCTATTTATAAATGGGCCCAATGGGCCACACTACTATAAAGTTATCTACATTAATAGTTAACTTATTCTAGGATTATATAGCGTATACCATTTTGTGGTTGTGGCTAACTTCAGTATTGGAAATCTATATGAAATACAATGCTATAAACCCTTCAGAATATGAATCATAGACTTTCTTCTGGCATGTTCACATATTGTGTGGATTAAATAAATAAGGCTTTGTTTAGTTTTTATAATCCAGTGGTTTTCTTGTTCTTTTGTTTTATTAATGATGCATCAATATGATTGGTTCGTCACAGTGAAAGTATAGTTATACTAGTTACTTAATTTAAAAATGTTTAGTTATTAACCCCTCTTCGAATATTTTTAACCAATTTAGTGGTTAATTGTTTGTTTATGTAGACTGGAAACATTTTTGCCAGTAACTAATTTCTTTGTGCTTTTTCCTTTTATTTTTTCATCTGCAGTGTTTGACACAGTTTCCGATGTCTAGTTTATTTACAAGTGAACTTAAGTTTTAATTAACTTGAGCGAAGCTTTATTACTCTGAGCCGCTTATGGTTCCCATTTAGTATTGTCATATTTTTACGATATTGCATTTAAACTCTGCAGGGTCCAAACCCACTTTCATGCAAGAAGAAAAGTTGTGAAAACCAAAATATTGGTCCTTTGAAGGTAGGGTTGGCAAAATTTTTGTTTTCTCAAATTGAACATGTAAACATTTACCTTATAAACTTTGGAATTGATTCACCATCCGTGTAAATCTTGTGTCATATTTTTTTTACCAAATCAGTTATTTGGCATCCCAACCATTCAGGTGAAGACCACACTTTAATTCACTTTACCTAGTTCTTTTTACCATACGCCGAAACATGAATAATTGTTTTGGAATTCTATAAAACAACTTACATATTGTTGCAAGTATAGTTCCTATTTAACCCTTCTGGTTTTGTGAGCTCTAAATTGCATTTTCGCAGTATGTTCTTTTCAGCTATGGTGTTTAATATTGAAATGAGTTTATTGCCTAGAAGTTAAATTTTGTTTCGTAGAGATCTGTTACATGTTCATTAATTGTTACTCGTGCAGGAAATGAAAGGAGACAACACAGTAAAAAGGAATAGGAAAAGGAAGAGGTCACATAAACGGAAAGTGTCAACAGAAACAGGCAATTAGGTAGATCATTTTCATAAATTAAGAATTACAAAACAGGTATTTTTTTTACAAGATCCTTGACTTTCTTGCCGCTGATGAAACGAAGAGAGAGAGAAGCAAATTTTAATCCATGTTGGCATGAGGGGGAAAGTGTATCTAGATTAGTTGCATGTTGAATTTTATACAGTTGTTTCTATTTTGGCATCTAAATTCATAATCAAAACTTATTTATGGTGGTCAATCTACTCTCTTAATCCTTTACTATCAATGAATTGAGGTTTCACCATATCAAAACTTTTGCTTCTTTAAGCAAATATGTCATGGTTCGGTTATCGAATCTGTCTGAAATTTTAGACGAGTAATAAATTTATCTATGCGTTCAGAAATTCTTGGACCTCGGGGGTTCTTATCAAAGTTGTTAACTAAGTTTCGCTTGACCATATAATGGATACGTGTTTGCCTAAACAGAAAAACAGCTACTCAACCATTTCATTCCAAATTGTAAATCACGATGGACATGGAAAGCTAACTCAAAATGAACATGATAAACGTAAAATTCAAATCCATAAATTCATATTCCATGTAACCTTTTATTTCCCAATGAGATGATGAAGAAAAGTTGATCAAACAGACATTCCCGGATTTCGGCTGGTCATAACTAGTGTCTCACCTACTTATAGTTCCGAGGGCTACACGTCAAATATACATGACACTAAAGAAGAAAAATACAGAAACGCTGCACCTTCTATATACAAAAATTGTTTCAACAGTGATTTCAAACTCGAGTGCTGAACTTGCTGTTTAGCAAGTCATCATCACCATGAGCTTCTAAGTTTCTCTCAACGAGGTTGGTGAATAATTCGTTGAGGTGCACACTTGATGTTCACATGCTTTGCAGGCTTCTCATGGTGCTTTGCAGGCCCAGAAGGTGACTTGGGACCCCTCTCCTTTGGTGATTTTGGTGTCAAGTTGTTAAGAAGAGCTTTGACATCTTTGTTAAGATCTGATTAAGAAACAAATCATCTATGAGATAAATTGTATCGGCTGGTCATAATACATGACAATGTTAATAATAAATTGTATCAGCTGAAAGATACTGTGACACTGGATGAAAATTTCAGTCCATTGCAGTGCTTCAACGTATATTTTCAACGCTACCACTATCACGAAGAATAGGCATTACAAGTGAATAATGTGCTCTACCTTTAAGCTGAAGGTTTAATCTCCACAAGCCTGTAGTAGAAAAGCATATACACAGATCTCCACATATATTTTGGATATGTTAGGGGCTGCTTAGACTGAGAAAATATACTATATTTTCATTTTCTGTTTTCAGTTTTACAAAAATGTCACCTTATTTTTATTTTATTTATTATTTTAAAAAACTTGTATAGAAAATTAAGTGCACTTTTGTAATTAAAAATGAAAATACAAAATATTTTATAATCTAACGGCCCTTTACTTTTCTCAGTCCGATATCCATTATGGCTTAAACATATAACAGCACTTGAAATAAAAATGAAGTCATGCAACTACATTAACAAATAAGGAAATATTGAAAACATTTTTACAAACAGTCACAGTATCAATTATACAACAAATTAGCTCCAATAATTACCTAATGGAGGCCTTTTTCCATCATTAGGATCATCCTGAACTGGTTGATCTTGAGCTTCAGAGAACATCAACTGCTCAAACTCATTTTCTAGAACATTCAAGTCTTCTTCCATGCCTAGATCAAAAGTTTCTGAGAGCATGTCCTCCATATCATCATTAGCAGAGTCATCACCGGATTCTCCAAAATCTTCCTCCTTATGCTGGCTCAACCAATAGTGACGAAACCATGTGGAAGATTTCACAAGCTCCCACCATTGGGGTGAAAAATCCTCCACCTGACGAAGGGAAGCAGGTATGAATAGAGGTGCATTTGGGTTCAGAGCAGAACTTCTTCCAGAGACCAATGCCATCAGCACTTGCTAGCCAATTTTACACTAACTTCAGGACAATCCTAGACAGTACCAAAAAAACAACATAATGAAAATGTAGCCATGTATTATGAAAAATATAATTTATTATTAACATTTAACACTACCCATATCATATCAATGACACCATATCATCTAAGAAAGAAACAAAGTAGGGAACAATAGCATGGTAAGTTTTAACTTGTTTTTTTGGAATTGTTTTCAGAAATTACTCATTATAATTTAAAGGAACAGTAGAAGATAAATATCCTTTTCCATGTTTTTTCCTTGGTTTGATTACGAAAGTTTTTAAACAATATTTTTACTAACAAACAAATTGCCTTCTATTCTTAAAAATACAGATGGATTAGGGATTCAAGGTGGTCCAAGCAAATGGGTCCAATCACCACAATGAAAAGTCACATAAAAGTAATACATACCAATACAGTATCACTGAATTCTCATTTTAAATCTATGCTTGTCTTTTACAGTGTCAGAGTTAAACATAAATGCCTCAGATCAACAACATATAAAGATTCACCACAAAAGCAGCAATTGCGAAACCTTTCATCTCAAGTACCCTCCCCAACCCCAACCAAAGAAAAAGCCTTTATCTTTTATTAGATTCTTAATAAAAGAAAGTAGGCAGAGAAGATCTATACTTCAAGAAATTATCCAAGAAAATGGAATAATAAAAAGATCCCAGAATCAAATCAACCAAGTGAAAATCCACAACGAGAGACTCATTCAATTAAGCAAACAAACACATGATCTACTCATGGAAAAGTAAATAGCAACAGCATCACCTACCTGATTTAACATACAACCATCAAAAGAAACACAAACCCATTACAGCTTATATCAAATCAAACCCAGGAAAATCAAGGGAACCAAAACAAAACAAAAAATCACTGACAAGATCACCCAAAAATGGAAAGATCAAACACAGGAGGAATCCAAAAATGAAAATTAGCAGCACGCAGAAAGGAAGGCAATAGAAAAGATCCAATCTTTTTAGTACCATCCACACAGACAAGAATGGAGCTAATTCTACTACCGAGAATTGGATCGTTATAAAAAGAAAACACTATACAAAAATGGGTCACAGATTCAACACGTGAAAGATCAACCAGAAAAGAAAAAAAGAAAAAAGAAGAAAGATCCAATCTTTTTAGTACTATCGACAAATAAAAAAATTAATAAAATTCTAATACTGAGAATTTGATGAACACTATACAAAAATGAGTCACAAATTCAATCACATGTTAGAAAATCAGAGTCACACCAAGAAGGAACAAAACAAAGATCCAATACTTTTAGCACTATCCTAGTATTGGAATAAATGGGTCACAGATTCAAAATTGAACAAGAAAATTGCACGCGAGGAATGGGCACACAAAAAAAGAACATGATAATGCTCCATCGTCACCTACTTTCAGAGAGTTTGTTGCTTGCTAAGACCACAATTCACAACTAGAGAGTGAGTGAGTGAGCAAGTGGTAGACACAGAGGAAAGTTATATAGTATCAGTGGAAAGTGGATAAAGGGAATAATCAGCTTCGGCACCCTCCAAAGCTGAGGCTCGGAACGAGCCTGGTTTAAACTTTTTTATCAACGTGTGGACCCGACACGTGGCACAAAAGCGACAAGAGTGATCGACGGTGCAGACAGAAAGGGGTTGATCGGACAGTTCAGAAAGGAACAGGTGGAGCAGATATATTTTGGCAGAGGTCAACGGTGACTAGTAACCTTCTAGACAATCAGGATAAGGGCGGCTTAGGGGGGAAACTTAACTGCGGGCGGTTGCATGGATTTATGTTTGCAATGCACCGAAAAACGATTTAGTAAATTAAATTAATATTATATATACACATAATTATCGAGTCTAATAAGGGGAATATAATTTTTTCTCTTTAGAAGTGTCCGTCGTAAACATGTATAAGATCATATAAAGGCATATTAAAAATATGCATATATGGGAACAACGAGAAAAGAAAAGAAAAACTTCACATCAAAGAAACTGAACGGTGATAAGCATTCATTCATTGATAAAATAAAATATGGCAAATTGAACTTTAAATTTGACCAAAAGGATAATATAAAGTATAAACTCTTAGCCATGTTGGAGTCAAATATGGCCAACTCCAAATGCTGAGATGGTGCGAGTTAAACATGTAAACAAGTTGGAGAGCACCCTCACATCCACCAGAAACATATCATACTTATAACTAACGCATGACTCATTTCAAAATAAAAACACAATTTAAAAAGCCAAAACAAATTCAAAGATCAAGCTTAAAAAGTAGATCATTAGATCTTCAATTTGGAATGATTTTTGTGCCTTCCCTTTTTCTATACAATAACCATAAAGTATCAATATTATAAAAAAAAATCTACTTAAATTTATACAAATTTTGCAATAAATAATATTAAAACTTTAAACCATTTTAGTATTCAACTAAATGATCAATATTTTGTCAAGGATTCGACTTCAAAAAGTCATATACCTTCTAGCAAACAATTGGGAGCATAACGATTACGTCAAGCTTGCTCTGATTTGAGTACTAATTCTACCTCAATTTAATATTATTAATTCTACTTTCATAGGATCTTGATGCCATCTACTTGAGAAATCACATTTAATAGAAACAATGGTTTTATAATATAGTTAGTAGGGAAAGCACATTAGAGAGAACAATTAAATCGAAGCTTACTTGATCAGCATAAAACAAAACTATCATAAAGTATTAGGGTTGAAATCACCTTATGCCTACATGCAATTTCAAAATAAATCTAGTCTCTCCCTTATGAAAATGGAGTTATAATTCAAAGGCAGCTAGCTATTAGATTAACAATCTATATAATTTGCATGTAATAAGAATTCACACCAAATTAAAGCTAGAAAATCCATGACAACTAAGCTGAGGTTAATCCTGGCGAAATAGAAAATACATAAATAGGAACACAGAAAGCCAACTATTATCTAAGCAGCAGAGTTCATAACATGTTAAAAATATTTTCTTAAAAAAGAGAAAGAAAAAGACTAAAGAGTCCTCTAACTCCATTGATCCATCATAACCTTTTATTGAATAGGCTACAATCTAGTAATTTCTGAAATCAACTTTAGCCATGTAAAAAAATAAAAAATACAAAATTCAAGTCTCACTTTGCATATATTTTTCTCAAATTAACTATGTAACTTATTTTATCCATGCTTAGTAAATGAAAAAAAGAAAAAAAGAAAAAAGATAATTACAGTTAAGTGCCACATCCTTCCTTACGTAAACATTATCTCTTTATATTTCAAACTCTCAACATCCTTCCTTGCGTGAATATTATCTCCATATATCTCAACATGAAACATACAAAAATAACAATAGATAAATGGTTACCCTTGTTTATCACCATAAAAAAAATATTAAGAAACTAATTTTATAACAAAGATGAAATCGCCGCAAGCGTGCAATTAAAAAAATTAATAATTAATTATTTAGGAATTTTACAATATTGTATTTGCAGCTATAATATAACGAGTAATACAAAAATGTTAAAATTTTAAATCATCTTTAACTAAGAGTAACGTTCTGGTGTAAATTATTCAAATGTAAGAGTTATTTAAGATAAATTATAGCATTAAACTTGTTTATAAACAAAAATCTACCAATTACTTGCCTACAATATACTTAAGTATAACATAATATTGTTTATAAATTAGCATTTTTTTAACATTTTTTGGACATGAGTACCAAACCATAAAAGTTTCATACAATTTCATTTCATGATACTTTGTGGCAGGACGATTTCAAGCATATTCTTTCACAATGTCAATATATCGCGACCATAAAATTTTATCCAATCATATATGTGCATCAACTAGCAGTTGGCCATCTACTTACAATCCTAATTAGAATGCAACATCTTCAAGTGTAATTGTGCACTCCTTATATAAAAACAAAAAGTGTATGTTTCTAAGAACCATCACTCAACTAAAGCACTAATAAATACCTTATAATCATAAGATCCAATTTGTGATAAGTGTAAAAAATCAGCAATTTCAAAGTAAAGTTATAGTAATAGATTTGGTAGGTTAGTTGTTATCAATTTATACTTCGTACAAAAGACTTGATGAAGCTGCATTACACTAAATAACTTATATTAAAGAACTAAAACAATTTTAAGATTTTCAATCAAATTAAAATACATAACACTAATTTAAGTAAATCAAAATAATAATGGCAAGTAAAACATAATTTATAATATAAAACAAATCTCATTTAAATAACAAAATATTATAATATAATTAATTCTTTTAATTTCTTAAATATATGTCTATTATTATTGTAATGATTGAGATTTTCTCGTTTTATAAATGTATTCACACTTTTTATTTTAACTGTAGTAATCCTTTTCAACTTTTTGTAAACAGAAGTTGAACTAATCTTTAATTTTTATATACCAATAAGCACAATCGTGTTTACCTAAACCACTCGAATTCAGGACGACTTATGTACAACTTAAGGTCTAACACATGGTGTGCTTATACTGAACACAATTGTGCTAAACTGTAAGTCATGTCATGCAGGTATGACTTATTTTGACGTGACTTCATGGGTGATGTGTAGGAATAATTAAGTTGAATCTAATTATAAAAATTTAGAATACCAATTGTGAAGTAGTGGTAAAGTCACTTACTTGTTGTAGACATTGTGAATTATATAGTAAATGACCTAATGAAGTAAGAATCCTTTCGCGAGTGAAAAGTCAAGATCTTTCTTTGCCTAATCACACTTTCCTAATCCTAAGTTCTCAATAGGCAAACCTAGAAAGCAATGGAATGCATTTTCGTGACAGCAAAGGGGACTTAGCCACCATATTTATTAACCCTAGGCATTTTCTATCATGAACCTAGAGGTTAGCCCATTAGTAATTGATCATATTATTAATAAGCTTAAGCATAGTCAAATAGATCACAATATTAGTCCATTTTTAACAAAATAAAAATAACTATAATTGATTGTAGCTTATGAATTTTGTAGAAAATTCTAATATGATGAGTCTGTAACCAGAATAGAGACAACCACAAATAAAAAACACTAATCTCCTTGTGCCTCTATTTTTTATTTTGATTGCATTCTCCATTATCGTACTAAACGTGATGGAGGAGTTATGTTCCACAGTCTTGGCCAAGTGCTTCCTCTGTTTAATTATTTTTATATATATTAATTAAGTTGAACACTCCTTCTTCGTTGAGTCATGTATTTTGAGTTTACATTCGAGCTAGTTATGTAGACACAAGATGAATCTTTATTAGTACCTCAAGACCCTTAAGGATATTCTGTTTACCCACAACAATCCATTCAAGTTCTGGTCTTGCAAAGATTACTATAAACTTCATTTTTTGGCAAACGATAGACTATCATAGGTGAATTTTACATGATTTTTTTTTATTTTTTAAAGATTTGCTTAAACAAATATGAACTGCGATATTTTTTGCTATTACGAGAGAGAATATGAATATGCAATGTGCTTGTTCAATCCAGAAAATCTACAACATCCACTTTATTCAACAATAAAACATAATTTTGCTGCAATGAAGTTCACAATTTTATGTTGATGTGTGTGTAAAGTGATATAATAATTAAAGATTTATATAATTTTTTTATATAAATTATAGTACTTAATATATAAATAATATGAAATATTTTTTATTTTTAAAAATTAACATTTAATTTTGCTTTTTATATTTTCAAAAAATATTAGTTTTATATATTCTCACTAATGTAGAAAAAAAAATAACACATGAAAACAATATTAATATGTGTCAATATTTAGGTTCATTATGTTAATATTTTTTTTTTGGTAAAGAAAAGTAAATAAAAAAAGAAAAAAAATTTCAATATCAAATATAAAACTTCCTTAGCATCAGCTTGAAGAAGTAATATCAAGTTTATAAGAGGTGAGACCCAATATTTGAAATCACAATATGAAGAAACTTTAAGCTTAGCTAAAAAATCTGCACATGTGTTGCCTTTACGCAAGGTCTGTGATAGTGGTTTATTAGTCTTTTCTTAACCAATCTTTTATATCCTAAATTGGATTAGCATACTTGTGAAAAAGTGGAACAATTTCCATCACAAGGTTTATGACCTCTATTGCAGTATGAGTATTGTTGAAATGTCAATGAACTTAGAAGCTTCTCTAAGTCAATTTCCATCTCTATTTCTAATAAGAGCACCAAAATCAGCTCTTCCTAAGCTTCCTTAAGCATTCTCATCAACATTAAAGATGAATTTAAAATTCTAATAAGTTCTCCAACAAACCCAGTGCTCCAAATGGGTTTAAAATTGCAGTACTTGTTCACATAAATGAAGTTGATTGGTAAGATTTAAAATATCAAGCATAATTTTATAAATTGATATTTTTTTTTTCCAATAATAAACATTTACGACCCTCTATATCCACCATAGTGTAACTAAAAATAAGGTATAAT